TAAATGACTAAATGCTTTTCTTAAGCGTTAAAATAAATCTTGAGTCAAAAACCGTCAAATTCGGTATATTTTATATAAACGTGAAGAGTTTAAACCAAAAATTATTTGTTTTTGTCCAAAAAAAATTTTAACTCGAAATTTACTTTAAAACCGAGTTCGCCACCTCTAGATGTTAAAAAACAAAAAATTTTTTTTTTGGCCAAAAAATTTTCTTTTTTTAAAATATAAAAATTTTACCCCCAAGCTAAGCCAAAAAAAAAATTTTTTTTTCGCTCCACCCTAATATATATTGTATAAATCAAACTTTTGTTAGAATATATCTCGATATATCTGCAAGAAAATTTGAATTGCGTTCGGATCTTAGTATTCGGTTCGATTCAAAATTTCGTAACGATTACACTCAAAATTAACCTTAAACGTGGACTAGGGAAATATAAGGAGCGGGTTTATTCCTTATTGGTACCGAACCACACGAAATATGTCCATGTAACATAAAATTAGTTCCACTAGAAAGAAGGAAATAATTATATTGGTTATGTGCTAAAAAAAACAGGTTACAGAAAAAAATGCATATTTGGAACCGTATTTCATATATCAGGTATAATACATATACTGTTAAAAGTCGTTTCGACATCTTTATGGTTACTTGACTTTGACTTATGAATTGTTCTGTCAAATTAGATGTTCGGGCCCAAAATGGCGGTTTTTCGAAGGTACAAATGGTTGTAATCCTTTTTTGTCTATTTTGAAACAGTAATATGACATAATCATTCTTCTTGTTCTTATGTACAAAATTTGGTACCGATTGTTAAAATCCTTTACGAGTTCTGAAATTACCATCGAAAGTGATCTAAGCTCGGTCTAATTTTTTTTTGAAGATATATATGTTGTTTTACTTTGAGAGGGGCAGAATTTCCTAAAGCGATAGCTGTCAAACCCGCCGTCAAAGTAAACATTTAAAATTCACAGTTTTGACGAAAAATTTTAAGAGCTCTTCGATTATTTCATAGCGAGGTTTATATAACTAGTCCCTCAGTTTTGGAATTATCGATCTGAAATTTGGCATACGCAATTTTCTTCCCAAGAAGCTGCTCATTTGTCGGAACCGCCGTATAAACTGATCGATAAAAATCAAGTATTTGTAAAGAAAACTTTTTTATTTGACAAGATATCGTCAAGAAATTCGACGTGAAGATCGGAGCACTATAACATATAGCTACCATACAAACTGACCAGCAAAATTAAAAAATAAAGATATTTTTATACCCTTTAATGCTATGAGAAATGCACTTGTGAAGGGTATTATAGCTTCAATGCAGCTGAAGTTAAGGACTTTACTTGTTAATAGATCTAATGTTACCATTAATCGTTAAGATGGTTAGGTATTAATTCACTGGGTTGAACTTTTGGTGACAAAATTATATCAAGGAATGGTTCTCTGAAATGGTCACTTAACTATCTTATGAACTGACTACGTAGCACTATCTTTTCTGTGTAACTTCCACGTTACGGGTCTATGTTGATAAAGCAGCTAGCGCTGTCTACTTGGAAATCAAGCTTCAGGATATTATTATCGAGAAAGGTCGACTATGCTGGCAAAAGTGGTGGCCATATACCTGAGATTTTAAATACAATAAAAATTCACTCTTTCACAAATTTAATATATCTGAAGTGCAATTTCTTAAACATTTCTTCCAGGGCTAGCATACGCACCTACAAATATTTATATGGCGTACAAATAAATTTGAAGACATATTTCTACACTCGCTTGACACGAACAGTTCATAATAATGTCAATGACAAATCACGCGCACACGTCAAAAATCACTGTATAAAATATTTCAACTGTCGATCGCTGCAGTTGCACATTGTCTGCCACCCTAAGGTGATGCCATATTGCTTTGTTTTACTTTGCGCTTGGTGGGTGCTCTAGTACTAGCGGTGTTGAGCTATGTTTTGTTTTCGATTTTGATTTCACTGTTTCACTGCACTTCAAGGCATCTAAAATTAGTTTTCAAATATTGTTACAAATGTGTTTAGTCTAAACAAATGTTGAATTGCAGCGCGTGTATGTGTGTGTGTTGCACGCGAAGCGACACTCGTATTGAAGTGTAATGGGGCGTACCAAATTAGAGTTTGCTGGTACTTTTTTTGTTGTTTTTGTAGAAGCCATATAGTTTGCAATTGAAAGTGCAACGCATTATATGGCATATATGTATGTATGTGTGCGTGTGTGTGTGTGTGCGTCGTTGACAATTTCTGAATTCCAAAATTCTGATAAGATAAATGTGTTGCAGCTGTAATGAAATTAGAAGCGAAGGCGAATCTAATATCACCAGTAAATGTGAGCGTAATAAGAGGGGGTTCCGCTCTTTTTTACAAAAAACAACTTGAAGTATTATAATAGTATACAAATTATTGAACTTAGCTTCGAGAATTTCTAACTATTGTATTTATACAGACTGATGTATGGCAGAACTGTCATTAACAAAATTTCAAAATTATAGGACATCGAACAATTTGAACTTGCCGAAACCGTCAGTGCAAAATTATCGAACTCAGAATTGGGAAGGTTTACCGCAACTTTCTTTAATTTCTAAGAAACGTACTGGGCGTCGTATGATATATTTCAATGGCTCGTCCAAAGCAGGATCACTCTAACAAATTATACTTCATTCAAAATAAGTGATTGAGAATTTATCCCAACATAGTTAGTAAGTCTCAGTCAGAATCGTAGAGGAAGACAGCATCTCATGAAATAAGGCGAAGAGCGGAATGTTCTAGAGCAAAATTTTGGGAGAATGGATCAATAAGCGATAATAACCGGTCGTTATGCCAATTTCAACAACAACAATAAATTAAGTGGTTAACCGCGCAGCTACTCATGCAATATAGAATATACTAGGTCGCACTAACGCCTATATTTGTCTCAATCTCACGCTAGATCACATGACGATCTTGAAATATCAGTTTCCGCGCAACGTCAATGGTTTCCGGAACAATAACTGATTTTGAACGAACTTCACGAAATTTGTCTTGCAGTGACTTACGAACTTGATTGAATTCACCATATGATCGATAAACACTGGTCCTTGATAGAGCTTCATCGCCCAAAATTGAATTAAGCTGATCGATGGAATGTTGCAGTGTTAATCCACGTCGTAAGTTGTAAAAAAATTACGAGATTTTATGCCAAAATGAATATTTGCAGTTACTGTAAACAATACAAATAGCGCTCGTATGTCAAAACGTTCTGAGTATGTATAACATCAAAAATGTCAAATTTTACGATAAAGTTGTTAGTTGCCAGATTGCAACACTAGGGTTGCCAAATCACACCAAATAAAAGACAACTTACGTTCCATGTAGCTATTGTCGCAATTTGGTTCTGAAAAGGTTTTTCATAAAATAAAACAGATGTTCGCTGAAGAGATGATGCTTTACCGAACTTAAGATTCTAGATTATATATTGGAAATCTTTCAAAACTATCGTCCAAGTAAAACAAAGATTGAAAAGTAATGCAAGAAGTGTGTGAAACGTGAGGAAAGTAAGGCTTACGAATGGTTTATAGAACTTCATAGTAAGACATAGGTATTTAGAATTGCCAATTAGCCGTAAGCAAAATGCAGATTGAAAATATTACTACAGCGAAAATTGAAGGATATTAGGAGAGCTCTCGGGCAAATGTACGGATATTCCTCGAATAGGACTTGGTTCGGTGTAGGGTTATAGCTATCGAAATATATAAAAAAGCCTACCGGAAAGTTAACGATCGATTTTCGCTCGATTACAAAATATTACGGGATAGTGTTGCAAACTAACGAAAAACCGAAAAAAGGTACCAAAAAATACTTATATGACAACCTTAAGTAATTTTAGAGTACTTTTGAGAAATTTTACGGTAATTATTAACTTATTAGATACTACAACATAGTGTTGCCGCCAGTCAAAAAGAGTATAAGTAAGTAAAATATCACAAAATGCGAGTATATGCAAAAATCTAGGCAAAAATAAAGTTATTTTGAAATATATTTTTTAATTTTCACTTCATACCGTCGCTCGCCTGAACCTAAACACTGTATCTCAAATTAATTTTATATACTAAATTTCCTGCAAAATTTTTAAGAATTTAAGAATAAAAATGAAATCTGAGAAATTTTTTACTAGCAAGTATACGAGGTGTGTTCAGAAACAATTGGGAATTTAAAAACTTAAAATTTTCCGGGTTTTGAGAGAGCAATTTTCAACATTTTTTATGATGTTGATATACATGCCCCCGAATTACGATAAAAATTTCTATAGCTATATTCATTGCTTAGTTTGTCTGTAGCGGCCGCTAAGGTTAAACGTGCTTTATGGGCTTGGCAATTTTCGTTTATTAAAAGCTCACACTCCATTGCTTGTTCGTGAATTCTTGGCCAAAAACAATACTGCAACGCTACCCCAGTCATATTCGCCGGACATGGTCCGTCTGTCTTTTTCCAAAAAAAATAAACCGGATTTTAAAGGGTCGCCGTTTTACAAGATAGATGACATTCTCCGAAAGAGCTAAAGACTAACCAAAAAATTTAGTTTGAAAAGTGTTTCATCGATCAGAAGAAGCGCTGACATATGTACATAAGTGCTTAACAATGGGTACCAATAAATATTGCTTTCTTGTAATTTTTTGAACACACCTCGTATAGCGAAAACAATCTCATTTGTAGATATGAACATTATAAGTAAAGGCCTTCATTCTGTCAATATCTCATCACCAGCATCTCTAACTAACTAAGTAGTATATTTATATGCATGTAACACCACACTCATGCCTTAATGTATTCATAAGCTCAGCTTCCCTAGCATTCCCTGCCACTTTTATGCATTTCATTTCATGTTAATCATTAAGCACGTCTTATAACATTTTATATAACGATTAATTCATCATTAAAATAAGAAGATAAAAAAAAAATAGTTAAAGTTAAACAAAAACTCACCAGCATCCAAGGGTTCCCTTGCGTCAGTTTACAGGCAGTCAGTTGAAGGTCCATTCAAGCTGCTTCCGTAAGCGCCACACACACACACACACACATGGAACTAGGCATATACTAACGATGTCTGCTGGCGCGCCAATTTCACTCGCTCCATTATCGTTAGCAGATGAGTTATCGCCCAAATACAGTAATTCTTACGAACCCGTCAGTTGGCTGTTGGTGTGCATTGGTTTTCATGCTGTGTTCCCATCACCAATGATGCTTCTTAATTCATTACTTTTATTCAACATTGGCGTACACTATTTTATTATTTGTTTATATATTCTTTTTTTGTTGTTTTTTTCGACGTCTTTTCCATATCGTGTTTTTACACAGTGTTTTCCGTCTACACTTTTTCGTAGGCAGCCACATCTTGAGGCTTGTTGCGTCCCTGCTTAATGTAAGCAATCAAAATTTTTATGATTTCTTGTGAAATTTTCTCTGCTCTTCGCGTTCTTCTGCTTTGTGTTCGGTATAAATTTTTAGTAAAATTTATTTACTATGAAATTCAATATTTTGTTAATTTTGTTGGCGTACTTTTTTCATTTAATTTTGTTTTTTCTCTCAGTTGATTGTTGTTTTTATTGCATTTTAGTTAACTCGTTTTGCTTTGTCTTTATAATGAAGAATGTCTTCGGGTAGTCGATAAGTATCGCTTTTTAATGTTTTGATAAGCAAATAAATTAGCATTTGAGTAGTTGTAATGTTGTAAGCGTGTGGCTTGTAGAACACCTGTGTGAAACAAGAGAGAGAGAAAGACAGAAAAAGAGAGCGAAGAAGTGCATTAAAGTAAGTGCAGTTGTTAAACGAGTGTGTACGTTCGCGCGTACTGATTCTCAGGCAAATTTACTGCTTTTCTTATAAATTATTTTACCACTTATTTTTAAATTGTACAATAAATTTATAATAAACCACTCGCTTTTTTTATTGAATAGTTTTACAGTTAAATTGAAATTTTCTCTTGTTTGGTAATTTTTTAGAGAATTTCTCAGATGTGATAGCAGCTCTTATTACGAGTTAGTTAAATGCTTTTTTTATACCCTAAAGTGGGTAACATCTAGAATGAAATTTCTCAGACCGGCTATGCATTCTTTGGATATATTACAATGAGACACCTCATTGATTGCAATGCAAAAATTTAAAATTTGTAGAAATTACGAATGTTTCTACATGCGGTTTTGCTAAAAGAAAAACTTATACTCGAAGAACTCTAAAATTTAACACATATGACCCTGCTTGTAAACTTTTGAGAGAGTAGGATGGGTTTTAAGCGGCTGGTTACATGTTGTCTATTATTACTGCTCATTTCCTGATCATTTTGCTGGTACTCTATTAAAGCCAGTGAACTGGCTTTTACTAGTACACACAAGTTATGGAAGGGTTTATCTGGAATATTTTCCTTTGGTTTCACAACCGATTCCTGTTCACAAAGCAACTTTGGCTACGAAAAATCTTCAAAAAACAAACAAAGAAGAACAACGGCCCAGAAAATTACGCCGATTTTGTAGCTAAATATACTGTTCGGACAAAACACCCATTTTTGAAAATCCTACAACACCTGTTAAGAGAGAAATGTCTCCAATATCACGAAAGATTCAATACCTAGCAGTTAAGAGGCCTGAACTCCGGACAACTACACGTGTATTGACCAATTCCAATAACCCATTGATTAATCTAATAGTTCCAGACTTTTTTCAACGAAGTTTGAATAGCTGAACTCGAGGTAACTACCGTGCCCAGGACAGTCGGGTCTACGTAACCGGAAAGGATTTGAATTTTCATACAGTCAAGGACTATTAACTCGGCAGCATTTCTTGAATTTTCTTCAGGGAGTTTTCTGCCGCTACAACAGCACTTGAGGTAACTAATTGTCTGACCAGATGTTGTAGTAAAGATTATAATTCACTATAGACATCGCACATTTCATTAGAAAACCTCAAGGAGGTATAGCACATAGATACATCTGAATATAAAAAGATCTAGGGAATGGTTCCGATGATTTAAAACTGGCGAAAAGCCTTTTCAGAACTAGCAATGTGTCTGCAAAGCTAAATTATATAGTCGTTTAGAAATCGAAAGGCGATGTAACTATATCGTTCCGGAACACTTGTGGCATTAAAACTTCAAAGCAATAGTGACGAATAATAATCCTAAAGATGCCCATAGACCCAATGCTATAGTTGAAGGTTTCAGATTAAAATGCCTATGAATATACCTAGGTTAGGTTAAGTAAGGTAATTATGCTGATTTCTCGTGAAGCTACGAATAATCTCACTTGTACTGCTAGAGACGCTTATCTATTGCGATGCCCAGAACTCCTAGGTTCGTAAAAAATATGGCAACCGAGATGCTTTAACCTTAATCTGGCCAAAGCTGGACAGTGAAGGAGAAAGTGTCTACATGTTTTCAACTCATCTTTCTCATTGCCACTTTGACAATTTGCGTTCTTTAAAATCTTTAGCTTCACAGTGGCTATGTGGGACTTAGATTAATTTTGAGGTATGCACCGCGACCTTCGGTCTATTGTACCCTCCTTCTGTGGGACTTACTAAGAGCCAATAGTTCAATGTACATTTTACGTTCCACACTAAACCAGAAAGCTTTCGCAATCCCACAAGTGTTGGCTGCTGACCAACGCTTTCTGAGCTCGCATGAAGCACATACATACAGCGCCCGAATGTATCAGGGGAACCACTGATCGTTCCGATCCTGATGAATTTTTGGGTATGGGTGCCTTTACTTGCAAGCTCATCGGCTTTACAATTTTCGACGATTCCGCTGTGATAAAGCTCCACACTGGAATCCACCTAGTCCATAGAGGTTTTGGTATAACCGATTTACTACCTTCTGAGGTACAATTTTCGACCACGATTCATGAATACTATCAGATTTTGAGACTTCAAACGCTCTTTCCAGCACTTGAAAAATTGATTAATCCAAACAACAACAATGGCAACACAAAAACATTAGCCACATGTTTGACCAGAAATTGCAAATATCCGTTAGGTAATTTTTTACGCGAAATTCGGCATTCGCGATCAAGTGTAAAGTGGAAACATTCGTTATGCCACTCAAAATGCGAATGGCGAGGGCAAATATATTGACTAATTTAGCAACAAAACAAAAAAATTGAAAGGGTTGCAAAAATAAAAGGGTTCGATTTTTGCCAACACAAAGAAGCATATATTTTTTTTTTGTTTCTTTTTACTTTTTCATTTTCGAAAATTGCCTCGCAGCAAACAAGCAAATAAAAGCATAACGAATGAAGCATTCAATCAAAGAAATGTAAAAGGAAAATCATATTGAACACGCTGAGATTGATATGCCAAAAGAGCAAAAACAACACAAACACAAGCACCAGCATATCAACAGCAACAACAACTGAACATTACCACCACTATATAGAAGTATAATAATAATATTGAGTAACCTCAGTTAGCGGCTTTTAAGCGATGGTTGTGGAAATGCGTAATATGTGTTTATGTATGTATATATGTGTATGTATATACGCATGACTGTTCGTATGTATTTGTAGCGGACATGATATGCACCCATCTTCCGGTTGTCGATTTCCGCTGTCATTTGAGTTATTGATGTGTGATACAAATAATACAGAACATAATAAAAACACACACATAACGTGCTATAAATAACTCATATGTGAGTATGAATGTGTGTATTATATTATCGATACATTAAATATATTATTGAATATCAACTTGCTATAAGCAATGTAATGGCAAGTAGAAACTAACTGCCAGTCATATATCATGCTAATGTACGCAGATTTACAACAACAATACAACACACACACATATACAAACAAATAAATTCATACACAAATATTTCAGTGTGGAGGCAGCTTAAACAAGTGTATTTTTATGCTCATATACATATTTATACCCCAGGGCTGTCTACGCTTCCAAAATACATATTATATAACTGAAAGGGTTCAAGCATCATCATCATATCATTTATCCTTCGTTTTTTATTTTGAGATTTTTCATAAACATGATTTTTATATTTCAGCTTAGCGAAAAGGGCCTTTTCATGTCAACTGTCAATACAATATATTTTTGATTTTGAATTAATATTATCGTATGAAAATTCGAAAATTAGAGAAAAGTGAAAGTTATCATGAGATGTCGTTCGTTAAGCTTGAAAGCCGCAATGAACAGAATTCACTACATATATGAAAAGCTAAAGATCCTTTACTCAACGTTAGACGACAAACAGCTCTATAGTAGACGGTCTCATAAGTGAAGCTGACAATATGTGGAGTACGAATCAGCAAGCTCTGAAATTCCCGTGTTATCGAACAACTCTGGCAACAAACCGATCCAAGGAGATAATTTTTCGGTGTATCACAATATTTAGTTGCATTTGTTTAAGAAAAAGCCGATGAGTTAAAAAAAATTACTCTAAGAGCGTTTAGAACGTATCAAGAACGTTATAGAACCAAATTTTCGCAGAAACAAAATCAATAGAATTAGATGCTTCGTTTAATTAGAAGCTAAGATCCGCATGACCGCATGAAGAGAGTACAAGAAAGCCTATTCTTAAAACGAACTTCAATTTTGACTCGACTTATTGAAATCAGTGTTCAACAATACATTATATATAGTATTATGCGAAGGCGCCGAAATATTTAGACACACAGTAGCAGTTGGAAGCTAAAAACGGGAAGAAAACGTAAAAAAAGTAAATTCGAAGAAAGCAGGACAAACAAAATTTGAGTGCAAATTTTATTTTCTGGCTCATCGAAGAAACGCTAAAAATTTCAAAATCATACATGGTCGAACAAAGGAAAATTCAAGATTGGGTAGAATATGTTCAGACCAGCCTTATTTACAGCGGAAATATATTGAGCAAACTACTTATTTGAAATCAGATCACTTTCATATGATCAAAAGCACGATATTTTAACGTAAACCATTCTACTCGCTAGTTAAGATTCGTGAGTTACAACAGTTGTCTTTAGTGTCAAGAAGTTGTCAGGTATAAAGCCGGTAAGAAAGTTCAGTGCGTTAAAAAGTAACGTTTTTAAATGAGAGAAACTAAAACGTAGACAAGCAACGAAAAGGAAGGATCACGTGAATCTAGTGAGGAGAAAGCCAATGTACTATGTTAGAAAACCACTGCTCAGTCTAAGAAGAACTAAAAATTTTGTTCAAAAAGGAAGATATAAAATAAAATACGGGACAGATATTACATATCTGGCATCAAACGCAGCAGAACTGTAATCACACTTACTTTCAAAAAAGTTGAAAAAAGCTTGCATTGGTTGGTATACGAGTTGATGAGTCTACTTGCGTATTCTTCAACTCTTGAAACATATTCGGCTCAGAAAAGTATAAAATTTATTCAAAGAAGTGTTAAGCACCTCAAAAGTGCATGTTTATGAATGCTTCTGCCATGGATTTGAGGTGCTTCACAGAACACCTGACGCCGTTAAAATGATAAAATTGTTTAAAGGGATTTACTGAAGTAAGCTGTAATGCTCTACGTCAAACACAACCATGTTTGGATACTGCAGGAAGACTAGGATCCGCAACATAGAGCAGACTCTGTACACAATGGAAACAAAACCATATTGTTATTTAGAATGGCTCACAGTCACCAGACGCCAATCCAATTGAGCTCTACATTTTGAAAATGCAAACGTTATTTTTGAACGCACTTAAATGAAAATTGGAAAACTGAAGTCAAGAAATAGATATGAAGAATAAGAA